CTTGGAAGATTAGTGTCTTTGAGAGTAAAAGATTAGGACCGTAGTTAGAATACTCCGATATCTCCCTCTCGGGGAGGGCTAAAGAGGTTCACTTGTACTTAAAGCAAATGCGCAACAGCATTGTTCATAAATAATGGAGAACATTAGGGAGATAAGCCTAACTCCTAATTTGATAAAAAAAAACATTTTTTAAATAATTTTTTTTTGACAATTTTAAGAGTGTTTAAAGTAAGTTTTATGGGTTTCCTCGAAAATCTTATCATAGTTTTTTGTCAAGACAACTTTGCATGCCTACAAATTTACTTTCTAATTACCTTGCCTATTTGTTTAGGTTTTTCTGAATACGAATTTGTACTGGAGGAAGGTTTGTTTTCCACATTAAATAACCCACATACGTATCTGGCGGTGTATATGAAGATGTGGGCCTACGTGTTGGCCTGGTAAGTGAGGCTATTTTGCCATTTGTGTTGGTGTGTCTAGGGTTTCAACTGATGTATGGAGATTTTAAATGTATATTTTTATTTGAAAGCATACGATTGCACGTAAGTCTAGATAGCGATTGTGGTGCTGTGCTGGTCTCACAATTTCTGTAATGCGGGTGTTTGAATACTTGAGTGTTGATGTGGAATGCGTTCGTCTAGCCAATGTGTTGTTTTTTTCCATAGTGGGCTGGTCTTTGCTGATTCTAGTGTTTTCAGCCGCTATCGAGCTATGACGAAAGCGAAAGTGCTGCACTTTTTACATATTCGTCGCCGGCGTGTAATTTACCTGCAAGAATATGGCTGTTAAGATGATAGGTGTGCAACTTGAGGGCATTTAAACTATTTCAGCCGAATTAGGGTTAACAGTCGAAGTTCTTTGGTAGTTATTTGATGGGGCCGCAAAACTTTGATGAGAAAACTTGAGGCCTAGTCTTCTGTGTTACAAGTATGAGTAAATATATTGAAAGGCTTAACGGACAATCCAGCAATGGCTTGATGCTTTTTTCTGCGCCTCATTTTGGCTTCATGCGCATTGATGAATTTGAAGGTCGAGTTACAGTTTAGTGAAGTCGTGAAATGTGAAAGCTTGCTTAGTGAATGGCGCTTCGTAAGACTTCTTTCACTTGAGTTGGGTCAACTGGAAGATGCTGCCGTTAATGGGAAAGGAGAATATACAATCGCATGCCCATCTCGATGCTTGTATGAAGAGGCCCGAGTCCTGCGAAGAGGAGAACTGGCTTTGGTGCACTTCACTAATCTTTTCAGAGACTGAAGAAACTGTTATGATTTTCTAGCACAGGAGTTTCAGGAATGCTAATTACTTGGGCAGAGAGCTGAAACTAGGTGCAAAATAGTCGTGAGTGTGTTTTCCAGTCTCCTAAATTCCAACACGTGTGGGTTCGTGCTTTGTTTCAATCTTGTGACCTCATTCATCTTTTTTATGTAAGAATTTGTGTTCTCTCTAGTGAACAGTGAAACAAAAGTGGCAATAATGGCGGTGGGGGTGGAAGCATTCCTGCGTGGAGACAACTTTGTTCGCTTTCAGAAAAGGCTCTCTCATAGTTTTTCAGTTAAAGGGGGTAAGGTGAGCGTCTTCGTGCAGTATAGTCGTTGAAGTGCCCAAACAGTCTGCACTCTTTGACCAAGAATTTCCTTGTCCACTGTGACAAAACGGGAATCATTTAGCGCTTCGTTTAGAGGTTCAGTGATAGTGTGCCACAATCTCTTCATTTTTTCCTCGTCTCTCCGTTGAATT